GAATGCCATCAGGTCCACTAGCTTTCCGGACGTCGAGTGATTGCAACTCCGCGCGAACATCACGCTGCCTGATTTTAATGTCAGGCATCGTAGTGCCACAATGAGGTAGTGTAGGTGGCAGTGCATTGCAATCAGTGATTCGGGAGTAAACCGCAAAGAGCTTTGTCAATAAATCGGCTTTCTCTTGCGGCTCATGAGCTAGTGACCCATCTGGACATCGCAGAGGTGGCAGTGAGGGCTGGCAAAAGTTGTGTTGCACGGCCTTAGCCAAACGCCAAAAACTACGGGAGCCCATAGGGTGCGTTAACAATTCGTGGCCAGTACGTGCTACACGTTGGGCATCCGCTCTGATGTAAGCCTTCTTACAAGACTTGGAAGCACTATTATAGGCAGCTTTCAGTGAGTTAACCCCGGGATCCTTAAGAGCGCGGTCTCTGATCCAAGCGCGATATATCGCCTACTTACGAGAAACAGCATCGGCACAATCGCGATTTAACCAGCGGTTACGTGTGCCCTTACTGATGAGATCAGAATGTGGTATGTAATACTCCATTCCCATTACGATCTCCTCAGTAATGGCAACGGCGCTGGATGATAGGTCCTTTTCATTGAAGTAGCGCTGCTTCCAAGTGACGGACGCAAAGTATTAACACACAGCTCAAACCACTGAACGGATTGCATTGAAGTTTGGCACACGTATTAACTATTATGATGTATGTAGGCGTGCGCTTAGAAAGGTTTTTCCAAAACTCACACCTTAAAGAGGTAAAACGGGGGTTAAAAAATTGAATGGGAAACTAATATTTCCACGCAGACGAAGTGACGACCACCACCCACTACTTTTAGAATATGTGTTTTAGCTGACAAGGAGAATGGGCAAAAGAAACTTATCAGCTTTTAACCGTAGTAGTGATGTTGAATAGAAACCGTAGCAGTGACATCTGCGTAGCTTTTAGCGTGACTCTTAGCTTGGCAGTTATACCATGGTCATATTCTACGTGAAAATCAAGATCAATACAGGAGTTGGAAGTGTTGGCTTTTATTTCATGACATAGATCATTATACGGCTTTCCATATGAAAAAATATGTTGTTAAAAACAAAGGAGAATTGCAGATGAAAATAACATCGGAATCCGTTTAACTATTTTCAAAATATACTCATTAAAAGAGTCTAAGCAACAAACTTCTTTTTAATTTTTAATAATCATCTTTATTCTTTTGTTAATAATAAATACTAACCAATTGGATGTATTAGTGGTTAAAGAAAAAACCTTCGAATAAATAAAATATTAATTTCATAACGCAAATATAAACTGATAATGATAAAACTTGTAGTTTGCGTAAATGATGCATGTTGCTTAAACTTTTTTGTTGTGTTCGTTTTTACTTGTGTTCCACCTTGTTTGTCCAATTTATCTGTCAAACGATTTTCTTAAAGTTTTTGTTATTGTTCAACAATTTAAAAAAAAAATATATATTTTCGTCTTGAAGTCTAAACAAGAAATATCTTAGCTAAAAGCTCTTTTTATTAGACAAATTATATGATTCGCTGTGTCTTTCTTTTATTATTATGTAGCATATAAAGCCGCTATAAAAGCTGCTACTAAATAAATGAGACAACATAACATATCCATTCATAGTTCCATTAAAGCATTGAGTCATTTTAGTATGTTAATAATATTCTAATTATACCTACTATTTTCGGCTAATTAAGCAAGGGTTCCACCATTTCTCACAATTAACTTTCAATAAACAATCCGCAAACAAGAGATTCCGACCTTTTATATAATAAAGTCCAAAATGTACGGTTTACAAGGAACTTTTGTTTTTTAAATATTTTTTTCTTATTAAATTTATATTTTAAATGATCAAATATATTGATTATAATTTACTATCTTGCAACATTTGCTTATGAAATCATTATTATCAATTTTTTATAGAACATATTACTCCAACTGAATTTAATTTGAAGCTTCATTATATACACCCTTCTAAAATAAATGTGTTCTAAAAAAATAAACCCAAGATTTATAATCATCGTAAAATTTTCCACGCTATATTTTTAAACAAACTAGCGTATGGATGCTAGATAAATTAGCGGTAGCCGTAACTCAAGAATGTTTGTGATACATACATAATATCAATTCATGTTGCATTCCATCTATATGCTCTACCCTGCGGAGCGAAAATATTTTATATTCACGGATAAAAAAGAAAACTACAAAGACTACTGAAGAAGAAAGTCGTACTCGCACGTATTGCAGTACAATATCCGAAAGGCAATGCACGCCGTAATCAGCCGTATCAATTTAATCACCTTAATGCAGTCGTTGCTGACGGTACTCCGCTTATGAACTATGCGCTCTACTAACGACGGAATCATGAGTCACGGACAATTAGAACAGATCCTTTTAATTACTTATATTATGAAGGCGCCTTAACTTAAAGGGGCGTTCAAATAATTAGGCACAGAGATGATTCATTGAATACAAAAGGAGTAATGGGGTGAAAAACCTCCAGTGATCTAGCAGAATTCCCCGTTTGATCCTAGCTAGCGTACGAATGGATTTTTGAAGAATAACGCTAAACTGGGAATGGTCCCGCTTTGAATTCGCTCCAACGTTTTGTTTTCGCAAGCACCCACTCCAATGGGCACGCCATAAAATTGGTCCGTGGTAAAATTTCTTGGAAGTTTCTGCCTGCGCAATTCGTGTTTTTGTTTGAATCACCGAATGTGACACAGCGTATAGCTGAATAATAAATATTATCGTAATGGTAAGTATGATTTTTGTGCGCTCATTTTTAGTATTTACTGGACTTTGTACTATCTATTTTACATCTATATTACTTCGTCTATTAGGTAGATCATTATAAAATATTAAACCCATATTTTTTCCTATTTTCACATAATCGTTTAATACATACGTGGACAGACTTGAAAAGGTTCAAAAGAAGTTTTTACGTAGATTAATACATTACAATTTAAATCATTGTAGAATTTCTCATGCAGAATTGTTGACTTTTGATCTTGGAGTCCAGACGTTACCTACTCATGGCCATGATGTTACATGGCATATGTAATAACAGGTTCGATTGTAATAACCTTACAAATTATTTATGTTAAGTTGTACCTAGATCAGTATTCCGCAGAGGGGTAATGAGGGGGTGCGGGCGCCCCTTCGTCGACTATTAGATTATTATAACACAAATTTGGTATGTTACTTTTATCTGTACCGATTCATCGCGTTTTCTTTTTATTATTCGGTTCGGAGAGAAGATAATTATACTTCTCCTTTCATCATTAACTTGTGGACATTGGTGTGGGTTGTACACTTATCTAATTAGTTAATTAGTATCTACATTATAAATTTTAGTAATATTTAGTGTATTTATATACTATGTTCCCAATTGTTAAAAATAAAAAATAAAATAATCAAAACGTTGTAGAGACAGAGATAAATTATTGATTTAAAATTTCGCATGACCTCACGCCTTGATACTATTATTTTAACTTAGAAGAAAAGTTACGACCCCCCTCCCAAACTTTGATGCGCTTTATCTTTGTGAACTCTTTTGGTCGATTGACAAAAAGGAATATGCATCTATTATTATTTGACAATTTAACGAACGGACTAAAGAGAATTTAGGTAACTTTACCCCATCATCGCTATTCTCATCTGACTAGAGGCAACAAAGACTATTCATACTTCCTCTGTTATCTTTTCGATCTCATAGAATTATTATCTAACTCTGCTAACATATTACAATGTATAGAAAATTAAATTGCAACAACTTAAAAACTACTTAATAACTAAAATATGAATCCAAATTACCTTTATCTACTTACGAATAAAATTTAATTTACAAAATAAAAAATATGTCACCCCCCAGCGCGGCCATCAGGAATGGTTGCCAATAGGCTGGCAGTATTGCCACGTTGAATAACAAGGCTGATCCGTTGACCAAGATAGCCGCCAGCCTTTTGGTCACCAGTCACTTCGGTGAGTCTCTTTGACAATTCCTTAACTAAGGAACGAGCGAGAATTACAAATTATATTTCACATAAAATTTTGAATGGATGGATGGATAGTTCCGACAAATTACCTCCCCACTTGATGTTATGTGCCGATGAAGTCCAAACGCGCAGAAAGCTGATACAGCTGGGTTGTATTACCTAACTAAAAATAGCGGGCCCGAGAGGATCGCCTTGCTAACAGCCAACAGATGGATACAAAAGGTTGTTTTTTAAATAACTTAAGTAGGTTTGCTGTAGCATTGCCTAAAAAAGATAATTATAAATAGTTAAAGTTTTTCGTTAATTACTAAAAGCAAGGTACCTCTATCTACGGAGCTGAAGGCGTTCTTGACATACACCTTTAGCACCACCTTCGCTATGTCAAGCGACAGGAAGGTACGCAGAGCGTCAACAGCTGCTTTACCATCACCATGACGCCAAAACCAAGCTGAACCGATTAGAATTCAGCTGAAACTATCGGCAAAAAGTGGTGACAACATTTTGGATGATAAACGGCGAAAGCTGGAGCCAAAATCTATATTGCGAATACCACCATATTTTTTCTTTAAACCATACAACAGCTGGCTCCGTAAAAGATCTCGACAATGTCTTCGGGAACTTCGCCGGATAGCATCAAATTAACCAGAAGAGTGATATAATGTAATAAGACTCTGCTGGCGTCAAAAGATCCTTTAAATGTGGTTGTGAAAACCCATCTAGACCACTGGCAGAGCCACTTTTGAAAGAGAAAATCGCAGCTAAAATATGACCATCTTTACTTATTAAATAAGCATGTGTTGGATCAGGCGTCGGAGGTAAGAGCAGTTTCGATGCTGGAGGTGGGTGTTTATCTACAAGAGCACTCTTCACAATTGCTAACATACGAGTATATTTTTACACACCATCATTAAAAAGTTGCAAAGTGATCTAGCAGGAACTTTCTGTTTTGAAAACAGAAATCAGAACGCTATATTTTAATTTCTAGATTTGACTTCAATAAGAAAACTATAAGTGCTGAAGCCATGGTCAACTTGGAAGTGGCGAACAAATATGACTTGAGTGGAAAAATTATGCTAGTCCCACTTAAATCCAACGGCGATTCGTCAATCAAATTAAGTATGTTTCTTTCATTTACATAGAATCGTGTATCATGTTAGAGCTTGAAACATGAATTACCCTTAATAATATTAAGACTATAATATTTTAATTTTTTAAGCATTTAGCTGTTAAATATAAAGAAAATTTTACTAGAATAAATCCCACGCTCGTGGTCCAGGCAGAATGGTCAGTGCCTTCGCCCTGATAGCGAAGAGAGCAGGTTGGAGTCCTATCTACTGCCTGGGCCGCGTATAAGTTTTCAAGTAATCTTTCCTTTAGATTAAGCATGTAGTATTTGATCCTAAAAAAATATAATAAACTACAATTGCTATTTCTTCTTTCAAATGTTTAATACTTGTAAAAGTATTTTGTTAGACACTGTGGGTTATTACTATAGAAAGAGATAGGGTTGCCTTGCAGCCTAAGAAATACTAAAAGAAAGAAAACATCCGACCGGCTCGCGGAGGGTTCGAGTCCTGTCTGCTGCTGGGACCGCGTGTATTTTTTTTATAAAAAAAACCTTTTGATTTATTATTAAGCCATTTAAAACATGTATATACTGATTTCCACAGTAGTCATGGGGGGAAAATGACGAGACTTGTCCAGGTGGGAGAGTACGTCAATTCATTCATTGGTCACATGCGAGACTGTTTATTATGATTGGCGTCTCGCATGTGACCATTAAACGAATTGACGTTTTGTTTGCGCTAAATTTAAATGCAATTTTGAAAGATGAATCTATTCTCCCATCTTGCCAAGTCTCCCGTTATTCCCTATTCCCATAAGCTTGCATTTCTATTGATTTATTCTATCCGCAAGGATTTTCTTCTACAAGACTAATTTTTATCTTTCTCATCCAATAATTCGTTACAGTAAGTCTAGTTATGAATCAAGTAAAATTATAATATTTTGTGATTGGACTGAATTGGCATAATTGCTCCCATTTATCTGTAAAATCTATTCGCGGTCAGAAAGCTTTAAATTAACCTAGGTTACAATTTATCTTTGTGGAAATTCACATTGAATTTTGTTTCTAGAAAATGCAGACCTGCGTATAAAAATGTGGTACGAGCACGTAACAGGAAGCGATGGTAAAATACATTGGAACATCACAAAACACGAAATCAAGTACGACGTCGAAAGAGCTTATTTCAGACTGGAGAACTTACTGGGTGATAAAAATATAGGTTTGTATAGTACAAAACTGCAGCGGCCAGCAAAAGAGGCGGTGATGTAGGAACGTGTAAATGTTGGCCGAGGCACACATACGTAAGTCCACCAATGCCTAGTTGTGGCCAGGGCTTATACTAGGCTATAATACTTTTCTCAAATAATGCCCGGAAATTAAAACTAAATAGCACCTGGGCAGAACTTACTACATATATTGATACACTTGAAGTTATTTTGTCACATACAATACTTTTCAAAACAGTGACGAAAACCAATATCTTTTCCTGTTGTTCGAACGTTAAAGTGTTCATGTGTATTTTTTACAATAAACAGCTTTATATTTGCAAGTCGGTTCGAAATTTAAACAAAACCTCTGATAGGTAACCGCCATGGTTGCCATGTTTCGAAAGAAAATATTATTGCATTTTTAAATTATACGACACATATTATGAGTTTACTATGTAATTTATTTGGCAGCTAAACCACGACAGATATGGATTTTCATACAACTTTTTCCGGTCGCTACTCGCATTTATTTGGCCAGTAAAGCAATATCCAGGCCAGTAAGGTTGTCAAAATAATGCTTAAATTTCTAAGCATATTTGTAAAATATTATTAGCTACATGGCGCGGTGGGGCAGGGCGGATCGTACTGGTGAAACAAATAGGCAGCGTCCGCGGCACGTTGCGGACCCGCAGGTTCGAGTAGTGGAGAGGTTCAAGACAAAGACGAGACTCCCCGCTTAGGGAGCCATACGCCTGGAATAACTCTAGAGGCTGGCGCCAATTTTTGGCTTGAGGTCCCCTTAGGATCTCACCGTCCCCAAACCCGGTGACGCTGTAAAGGTCATGACTTGCTAAATGAAGTTGGTATTTGCTTTCTTGACCGGATTTTACCGAATATGTTTAAGAGATGTTTACTTACCGATGATATTTTTTTGTAGGGAATACCGTCATATATAGGGAATACCGTCAGGACCCGGAACTGTTTTGGTTGTTTTATTTTTAATTTGATTGTTTACCTGTTTCCTCTAGGATAGGTGGACTATTTTGAAAATTGATAAGAGGATTGTAAAGTTTTAAATATCAACTGATAAAACTTGCAATTTGCGTAGATGATGCACGTTGCTTAGACTTCTTTGATGTGTGTTCATTTTTCAAACACACTAGTTAGCCTAGCCCCAAATAAGCTAATAGTATTAATCTCACTTACCAATTATTTAGCACTTGCCGGCTATCGAAAGTGAAACAATTCTGAGATCACTGTGAAAGTGGTTGTGCTAATATTCAGTTACTGATACCGCCAAAGTCAATTAATTCATTCATTCAGTTGTAAAACCGATCGTTCAGCTCCAGGGTTATCATAAGATTCATTACAGCTATTAGTTTGGTTGCGAACTTTAATGGGATAATAAATTTAACTTCGGCCATAGCTTCAGTGTTAATAACCTTTGGGATGTACGATGGTTTCTATGTGAATGGAATTTTTTCACATTGATTAAAATAATAATGACACTGATATCAGTATGCCTACTCGATTTCAACAAAAAACTAAAGGACAATGTGCAAAACACACCCGGCTCCGCCAACAATGTAATTACTATGAATCGATAGATCTATGAAAAACCAGCATAAAAAAAATTTGATAACGTAAAAAAAACCTGGTAGTCAAAAGATTTGACACATGGGCCTATTTAAGTAGCTAAATAAATTCATTTTATAGTGCCTTCATTTAATATTATTAGTAACCATAATAATATGCCATATCGTACTATACAACCAGATATACGACAAAGCCTGCCGACCATCCTGCATTTGCACTTACTGAGACACCTCAAAACGGTTTACGGACTCGTCTTACTTCGTTGTGATAGGGCGCTCCCTGTCACTTGATTGATTTTTATCTAACACGCTTTGGAGATTGGAACAAGATTATCGGTTTTATTATTTGCATGAATGAGCTGGAATCATGTTTTCTCTGAAGCGTGGACAAGTTTGTGGGATTTGTGGTCGCTCCGTTTTACATAGAAGACAATTTACTATAACGAACAGATTGTTTCAAAAAACCCCAACCCAAGCGGGGATTTTTGGATTTACTCTAGCACGGCAGAATAACATAAGGGGTCACCCGTGCACCTTGTGAAGTACTCCCATAATACCTGAGCCCCCTATGTAAGGTCGAACTAAGTAACTAAATTAATGCCCTCATGGGCGTAACCAGGGGGGGGGGGGAGGGGCAGCTGCTGCAAAACCAACTTCAAAATCGGAAATGGAACTAAAAAGTAAAAAATAATATCTGGTTCATGATTTGGAAGTCGGGCGGGGTCATGATTGAAACATTAAATAGATTTTCGTTTCTGATCGGTAATAATACGTGTTTCAATTTATTTGGACATTGAATGTCACAATCAACGAACGATCAGGCTCAATCCCACTTTTCGGGAATAACTCGACCGTGCGTGCAGCGTACTGAGATAGTGCGGGGCGGTGGCACAGACAAGTGTGGACTGGCCGCCTGCCCGCCGCGTAATGAAGAACTCTCAAACAAAACCTCATTTAACGATAATAGGGTAAATCTGATTTAAAATATCATATTTTTATTACAATACATTTTCTATGGATATTTTACTAGGAACCTATCTATTGTCTCGTAAACGTAGTTAGAACTCAAATATGTAAAATACATTTTTTTACTATGTCCCGCTTTCGACGAAAGAATCCCGCTTTTTCACACAAAAAGTACCTAAAACCCGACTTGGAAAAAAGTCTGGCACCGCTGAGTATGTAAGACAAAACAGCCGCGGACGATCCCACCTTAAAAATTCTGACTTGCAGATTTATTTTTTAATTTATTGAGAGTCCTCCATGACTGATCCCAATGTACCAAAGTTTAATGAGGGGGGCTGGTATACACATATTTTATAAAAATTTACTAACTCTACACACGACAGCTCAACATGGCGTTCCACTGAATGGCTTACAATGTCCTTTCTTTCCTTACATTTCACATAATCTTTTACAAAAATTAAAGAAACATCATGAATAGCTATCGTGCGTACAAATGCACTGCATAGTTGAAAATTGTAAAAAATGTTATCATATTTATTACTAATAAATTGAAAGTGATAGTTTACAGCTGAAATTAAGTATACCCCGAATTCGATGAAATAAAATTTTGTTAGAACTTCGTTACCAAAAGTTCGTTTCGGAAAAAGAGTAGACTGCCAGTTCTGTAATAAAAGATATTTTTCTTACATAAAAAACAGTGACGGACATGACCTGCGTCAGTTAGCGACCACCATAGCTTAAAGACGTAATAATAAAGTAGTGTGATTTCAATCTAGTCTTGCGTAAACTTGTTACTTCACCAGACAAGCGCTCCAAGTGGAGTAGAAAATCCCGTATCTCTCACGTAGAGGATGCAAGGTTGAGAGTCGCACGGAAAAAGAGTCCTCTTTGGAGAGATAGATTGATATACATATCTCCACAATATTATAGCTATCCATGTGCTAATAGTCTCCAAGCAAAACCGGGGACGGACAGACGGACATGACGAAACTATAGGGGTTCCTTGTCAGGACTACGGAATCCTTAAAAGTAGCTAAAAGTGACGCATTAGTAACACATTTCCAGTAACACCTCTTTGACTAATAGCATATTTCTTAAACCCACAACTTTAATTGAAATAAAAGACTGCACTAAAAAGCTTAAAAATATAAAAAGTTGTGGATATGACGGAATATCAATTCAAGTAATAAAATCATGTATCGATATAATTGCTCGCCATCTGGTTTATTTAGTAAATATTATGATAGAAAAATGCTGTTTCCCTGACAGTTTAAAAATTGCTATTATTAAACCTATACCGTAAGTGAGGGTTACTTTAAATCGGGCGGGTAACTTTGTCCCAAATCAGAAAAAATATTGAACTTGCCGCCCCATCAGTATCTTTTGGGTGACCGTAATAGTTCCAGTTGAAAATTACAGATAGCCATATAGGCGCGTAGTGTGGTGTTGTTTTATCGACATCGTTCCTGTATGAAGTTATCATTGTAACGCGGCATTTTTTGTAACTGAAATAGTTCGCAAGTTCATGCGCAAACTTTCTTAAAACTGTGGTTATCGGTAAGTATACTATTTATTCTAAATTTAAAGTTATATTTTATATTTAACTTAATTATTTTTGGGCAAAAATATCCATTTGTGTATTCAGTATGCTAATGGTGATCTGTTATAAGGGTAAAATGAGTTTTTTTCACAGAGAAAACTCAACGAGCTAAAGTAACCCTCTTTAAGGCCAACCTTGGCCCAAAATTAAAAAAAATATATATTAACCCTTAAATATTATTTTTTTCTATTTTCGTATGATAACTTTGTAACTTATACTTTAAACTTCACAATGGAAAGATATAAACGTGACATATTCATCACAAAGAGAAGCTACAATTTTATTTGAAAAAAAGTGCACATTTTACGTCAAAGTAACCCGCAGTTACTAGGTACATAAAAAAGGACCTCGCGACTTGGCAAGCAATTACAGACCAATTGCTCTACTTCCAGCGTTTTCAAAAATATTTGAAAAGGTTTTATACACTAGATCGATTGAATTTATTGAGAAGAATAATATATTAAGTAATAACCAATTTTGGATTTAGAAAGGAATTGTCAACATCCTCGGCTGTCTATAGTTTTTTTAAACATGTGTGGAAATTAATAGATGAAAAAAAATACTGTGCAGCCTTGTTCATTGATATGTCACGTGCCTTTGATTGCGTTGTTCATTCTATTCTGCTTAAAAAACTTGAGCATATTGGAATTCGAGGTTGCGCTTTAAAACTAATAGTCATATCTTTTTAAAAGAATGCAAACAGTAAATTTGACATATTTGGATAGGAAAACAAAAACTTTGCAGGAAATTAAATCAGAATATCAAATAATGCCAATAGGTGTGCCGCAGGGCAGCATTCTAGGGTCATTATTTTTCCTTGTATGCATCAATGAGCTACCAAATATTATTAAACATCTATGTACCATGTATGCTGATGACGCGACTATTTTATTTGTTAAGAATGACGATATGTGTAAGAATGACTTTGAACTTAATATATCTCTGACATTACAAAATCTGACAACTTGGCTTAAATCAATGAATTTAACAGTTAATTTAATAAAAACTAACATTCTACAACTTAGAAATTATAAAAAAGAACCTATGGGCCTTAAAATTGCGGTAAATGGCACCGAAATAAAAGAAGTAGAATATGCTAATTTTCTTGGTATTACCATAGATACTCACCTGAATTGGAAAAATCAAATAGAGAAAATTAATGACAAAATAAGTAGTTATTGTTACGCCCTGTCAGTGTTATCCGATATATCATCCACCGAAGTAGCATTAAATGCTTATTATGGTAATAAATATTTCATATTAAGCTATGGAATCATATTTTGGGGCAATTCTGTTAATGTTGAAAATACATTCCTATTACAAAAAAGGTGTTTAAAAATAATTTTTAATAAATATAGTGACGAATCAATGCGTAATATTTTTAAAGAAAAACAAATTTTAACATTGCCCTGTATTTATATATTAGAAATGTGTAAATTTTTAAGATGTGATATGTCTGAATTCCCAAAGATCTCTGACAAGAGAGCTAGAATAACCCCGATGAGACGTGAAGACAAATTATATTTACCTCGGTCAAATTCAGTAATTTTTGAAAAAAGTACTTATATGTCTGCCATACGAATATACAATAATTTACCCCTCTATCTGCGGTCACTTCCTGAATATAAGTTTGTAAGGTCCCTGAAGCAATGGTTGTTATGTAATGCATTTTATAATCTTAATGAATATTTTAATAATAATGTTTTGTGAAAATGACTATTGCATGCTTGCATACATGCACTAACATCTGGCAGTATCACTAAATGTAACAGTTTTGCAGTAAAGAATTATTCTATTCTATTCTATTAGTTTTGTTAACTTTTTCCAAGTAATTGTAAGTATTTTTAATGGATAAGCACACAATGTAGATAAAATAGATTAATTAAGCAATTAGGATTTCTTATTAATGAAAGGCTTAAAATATAAGCACTTAATAGCTTGTTATTCATTAATTCCTTTATTTATAGCTATAGATTATCACTAGGAGATGATATACTTATTGAGAGACAAAATTGGAAAATAAAACAATAATATTGGGCGCATATTTATGATACAGAACGAACCAACGACATTCACAGGGTCACAAATACATTTATTCGCAGATTGACTAATCTCAAAGCCATTTTGTTTCATGGACTGCTTAAACTCGCTCGGTGGCGACTACAAAAGGGTCACAAAATTTATGATGAATCGTCGCCCCGCGGACATTTTGCGAACAGATAACAATAAAATTGTACAATTTACGAGCATAACAGTACAGATAGATGGACAAAATAACATGTTTGTTACCAGCGAATTTGTGTAACTGTCCGCAAATAACTATTACGGATCAAATGCTATTAGCTTGTAAAAATAAATAAACATTCACTTTAATTTCCGTTTTTTATATGAACGTGTTTAATGTTGTTATTTTGTTTCTGTGTGTTCATTTTTGTGTTTAGATTTACAACCTCCGTGGCCATATGAACATTTGTACTCCAGTCATGGATGTTTAATAGTATCTATACTAATATTATAAAGAGGAAAGATTTGATTGTTTGTTTGTATTGAATAGGCTCCGAAACTACTGGACCGATTCGAAAAATTGTGGTGAACAAAGGCTATAGAGTATTTTCAAACAAGTTAGGGTTCCGTATGAAAACTTCGATAATGTAACCCAACGTGAGTAGAAAATACCAAAAAATAACGCTGCGGAAGTCATTGACAATAGAGCAAAGTGATGTACTACAGTTTTATAGAGGACATTAACATTTTCAAAAAAGTCCGCGATATCATGTGTCTAACTATCACAGTTATGTCACAACTAGAGCTCCCCTGCGGTTTCACCCGCATTAATTTGAAGATAAGGATTATAGTGAGTCAAACTTAAAATATGGACATATGCTGTTGCGAATATTTTTACAGAACTTTTAAAAGGAAACAATTCCGTTATACATGATTTTTGTGTAACTTTAACCGTTTACCCAGCGCACGCAACGGAATCTCACAAATAAAATATTTTGAACAGTTTTTGCAACATTTTTCATCGATGCTCCGCTGCTACAGGTCGTAGCCTGATGTTATATAGCTTATAGCCTTCCTACAAAAATATTTTTCAAATCGGAACAGCAGAGTAATGGTGAATTCGGTACAATGAGTCCTAAACTACGCAACAAAATTTTTACTTGGAATGGAAGGGCTATAATTACACTACAGCTCTACACCGAAGCAAAGCGGAGCGGGCCACTCGTTTCTATATAAATATACTTATACTATAGGTACCAGTATATATATTCTATCCGTTACCCTAGTATCCCATAACACAAGCCTACAGTGCTTACTTTGGGGCTAGGCTAATTGGTGTGAGTGTTGAAATATTTATTTTTATTTATTTATCATCATTGCTACTTATCTTTAAGGACCTAATGACGTATATGCAAAAGTATAATATTTTATGAACAGTGACTGATTGGTGGTATGGTTATGGTTATGGTGGTATGGTTTAGTATTGTCCCTTATTTTTTCCGAATTGATAGCGTACAGGCCGCCCCTATAAACAAAATATAGAGAACCATGACCCGCACTACGAGCTTAGTCTGTATTTTTGGGTGTTGTTTTAGGAAGCACTGAGCTGCTTAAGATATTACAAAATATTATTTTACTTTCATGATCGCACACCGAGCGCGCTACCTACCGCGTCGATATTGTGCTCGCTGGAAGTCGCATAATAAAATGCACAAACTACCCCTATGCAAAAAAGAAATCTTGCACATAATGCCACAATTACATTTGGTCTTTAGCCCGTATTCGGGTGCACGAAAGACATTAAACAAATTCGGATGCCTGAAGCAATATATACATTGGAATTACGGGCTGGAAGACGGTTTCGGCTAAACAAAAGGAAATCTACCCCAATACGGACGTACTCTGTTTATTTACACTTAGGCGTTTATCAGAATTCCATTGGCACTCGTATTCGGGCTAGTGACCAAGTGTTATTACCATTATTTAGAACACTGGCTATGTGAATTAGTAATTGGGAATTGAGGTGCAACTATAGGTTTAACTCTGGAAGCTCACGTAAGCGTAACGGAGTTACCTATCTATCTGGTCATAGAATTAATTGCCTTTGAGAAATCCATTATGACGAATTCTACGAGAATAAAGAATTCTTTGCAGTAGATAATTGCATGCCTTGTTAATTTTGTGACCTTTTATCAATGAACTAACTATATAGTAATTTAAAATCATATCAACGACAATTCCTTCGGTTTCAGTACGAAAATTATCAATTTATTATTGCTATTTGTGATATGAATGCGAATCTAATTGCGGTGCGTTATTTTACCTAATTTAACTCCTTTAGTATAAAGTGCTAAACCGAGCGAATTCTAGGATTTAATGCATTTGCATCTTGTCTTATATAGTGTTTAACAATAATTGCAATATCTTTTTGCAGGTGACCAAATTAATAATCTACTTAATGAGTTATGGAAAGAAATAGTAAACAAAGTTGGGCCTACCATATGTCTGTCCCTGAGCTCAGCTGTGGTCAAAAACTTGGGTGTATTCCTGGAACAAGTTTCATTTGAAGAATTATTTCCTGAATAAACAAACCCTCATATAATTAAATAAATTACAATTATTAATTATAGTGTATTAAGAAAATTCTGTTCTGAGGAGTTATTCTTCCTTATCCCATCGTCCTCTTTCCTTCAGAGGACCACGCGCGCAGGCCTACTTTGTCACCAACTTACTGTGGCTACTATTCCTACACGAACAAAGGATATTAGTAACTCATTTCTTAGTCGTACTATTCGCGAGTAGAATTCTTTGCCAAAGCATGTGTTGCCTCCTTTCTAAAATCTGGGGTCCTTTAAAAGGCACGTGAAGAAGCATTTCTGCAGGCCGGCAAGGTTCATGTCTAGACTTTACCACTACTTAAAATCAGTTAGAGTAGAGTCATTTGTCCACCTATCTATACAAGAAATCTGTTTTTTATTTCATAAAGTTTTTCTTATGGTAAGGTATTGCACCTTCGATTTTGAACCCTTAGGAGTCAGAATCATCATATCAGCCTAATAACATCCTCACTGCAGAGGCACATTCCTTCCATATGGATGGAACAGGGAGACAGGGTCGTGACTCACCACGCGGGCCCAGTGCAGATTGGTGGCTGCTAACGACTGCTGATGCAGCCGGGACTAACGGTTTAACGTGCCTTTCGAAGCATGGAGGAGCTCGAGAGTTAAATAAGTTTTCACCCATCCAATGACCAACCATTACGAAACTTTCACGATCGTTGGCGAATACGCCATAGAGTTTCTCAAGAACACCTACATCTTTTTTAATTCATGTAAGGAAAAGAAACAAATCAGAAAGCAATAATGAACATAAAAGAATTTCGATCTGCGACCTGTTTATGATGTCTATCCTGTTACCGAAATGAGGGTTATCGTATGATCAGAAGCCTTAACATTTTCCGACAGGGCGCCTTTAATTAAAACCTTTGCGGGTTAGAAATTATAAGCCCCAGCTATTTCACTAATTGCTGACTGACTTACCAGTATCATATTGCCTTTGAGTTGCCTTAATTCTATATCTATTCCATTGTGGATTTTGTGGTCAAGCAAAGCAAACCCTTTTATTTTGAAATGTTTGATAGGGTAAGCTAGCTATGGGTACTTTTTAAAAATTGTTCTAAACAAAATCTCTAGCAATTAGTATATGTTTCTTGTTATTTTCTTAGAAATTATAACTAGATATTATGGCTCATAACAATTGTAATGCTGTTTCAGCAATTCTAATTACCTGCCTCACGATTATTTTTATTTTTTTATATTGGGTCACTTGAAACAAAAAATGTGTTTAAAGTATAGTTACCATTAGTGTTTATATTGATAGGTTCCGTATTTCACGATCTTAAATATGGTAGTAGTGTTTTTAATGAACGTTTAGTGGATATTCAGTGATAAGAGTTTTAAATTTACAAGTGTCTATAACGGCCGTTTGCGCACGGCTCGGCTTAGCTTGGTCCGACGCAGTGATGCGCTTGTTCTGAGTAAGATTAATTTTCTATGTATACAAAATGAACTGTACTATTTGTTGTAAAGAGATTGAGGTAGGAGAAATGATCAAATGTATTGGATGCAAGACAGGATATCATTATGGATGTGTGAACACCACAAGCACCATGTCTAGAGAAGGAAAGCGTACTTTTAAGTGTGATTCCTGCTCTAATGTGACCCAGCGTATACGGGTAACGGACGACACACCCGTACGTGGGGTTTGTGATGCTGCAGGATCTATAGAACCTAATAATAATCAATCCCTCGAGGAACATGTTTCTCAGTCAAAGGTCGAGGCTTTGTCATCTGTTGAGATAATTGATAAAGTTAATAAAATGATAATGGAAAAATTTTGTGCTTTTGAAGCCAACATAATACAAGAAATAAAAGCCACTGTGACTGTATTGGCATTAGAAAATAGTAAATTACGACAGGAATTGAGTGAAGCTAATACGAAATGTAGTTCTTATGAGCGGAAAATCAGACTAATGCACAGATATGTATTGACAAGAATGTTATTCCTGATTGTTGTTGCCAAAATCTACAACCGAAAGCTATACAAATATCACCAAAGTGTGTCGCATCTCCGGCCATTACATCTGGCACTAGTGACAAGAACAATGGAACGCAGGTACCCATTACTAAACCCTCACCCGCTCCCGCTGTTCTGAGGCCTGTTAAGGCTAGTTACTCGGCAGTGGCCAGGAAAGTAACGATTGAGACATGTGGGCAATTGGATAATAATAATGACCAGGACTGGATAGAAGTTAAAAGTAATAGGAAGAGCAATCCTATAAAAAGAGGGGACAATAACTTAATTACTTGTTTGAAGGCTGTGGAACGTAAAAAATTTTTGCACGTTTGGAGACTGCAGAAAAATACTACAGAAGAAAATTTAATGGCGTATATCAAACAAATTCTTGGAAATGACTCTGAAATTTTAATTGATAAAATTAACCCTAAAACTGAGCGTGATTATGCTCCCTTCAAGGTTGGTATTACAAAAGTAAGGATTACAAAGTTTCTCAAAATTACTTAACGTAACTTAAGTAATTTTGAGAAACTTTGTAATCCTAAAATATGGCCTGAAAATGTAGAATACAGCGAATGGATATGGTTTCGCCGCCCAACCGCGGCAAACTAATCAGAAACCAAGCAAATATTTTAATATTTTATACCAAAATGCCAGAGGACTTCGGACGAAGACTGCACAATGTTTATCACTATTTGAGTCATCAGGTTCTGATTTATTCGCTATTAGTGAAACTGGGCTAAGTGAAGCTATTGAAAACGCAGAATTTGTGCTACCTGGGTACGAAACATTAAGATGCGATCGAGCTGATGGCCGGAAGCAAGGAGGGGTACTTTTAGTGGCCACACCGAGGTTTGAATTGCGTCGAGTGACCGTGCCAGGTGATGTTGATATAGATAATCAAAGTTTTGAATTGATTTGTGCTACTGTATAATATATAAAAAATCGTTTTTTGTTTACTTGCTGTGTAGTGTATATTCCACCGCAGAGTGACGAGAATGAATATATGTTATTGTTTAGCATATTAGAAAATATCTGTATTAAATATAAGGGTAATTTGGTTATATTAGGAGACTTTAATTTGTATTCATGCAACATTAATATTTTAAACTATTACGAATACTTTTTGGCCTTCTGTGAGTTCATTCAATATAACACGGTCCCAAACTGCAATAATAGACAATTGGACCTCGTGCTGAGCGCGAGCGTAGGCGTGTCTGTGAGCGCAGCAGATGAGGGCCTGCAACCCGTGGACGCATATCACCCCCCGCTGGCCGTGCACGTGGAACTGGGCGCATACCGCCCGCGCCCGCGCCCGTGCTCATTATCAACCGCACAGCCGCCACCCGTACCTACCACTCCTCCGCGATACACCCATTCCCTGAGTACTCATAATTCATGGAACTTCAATAAAGCTGATTTTAATTTATTATATTCTTTATTAACAGAGGCAGACTGGAGTGATCTGTATGATAGACAAGATCCGGATGTAGTTTTAAATTTATTTTATGATAAGATATATGAAATTTTTGACAAATGTGTTCCTCATAAAAAAAATCATTCAAACAAATGTGATAGCAGGTTTATTTACCCGGTGTGGTACACGGCTGAAATTATTAAAAATATAAAGTTGAAATACCGATTGCATAAAAAATATAAGTCCAGTAAATTGCGCGGTGATTATGAAAAGTTTTCACAATGTAGAGCGAAAGTTAAAATTGAAACTGCATTAGCTCATGATCAGTACCGCGACCGCGTACAGCAACACTTAGTGAGGGACCCGCGAGCTTTTTGGCAATACATAAGATCTAAGAAAGGGAATTCGAATAATCGTAGATTGATTAAAGACGGGAGGGTATTGACGGAAAACGAATGTGCCAATGAGTTTGCTCGGTTCTTCCGTTCTGTATATAATCCAGAGCCTCCCGTGCTAAGTGTGGAGGCGGCGAGTGCAAATTCTGAAGCAGGCGCAGCGACCGGTGCCTGGGCGCACCTGACTTGCGTGACTCCCGCGGAAGTGCAACACGCACTCGCGCGCTTGCCCCCTAAACGTTCAGCAGGGCCCGATGGCATTCCTTCGTTAATTTTTAGAGATTGCAGAGCAGTGTTAGTGGAACCATTGTTACATATATTCAACTTATGTATCAAAAATGCAAAGTGTCCTGATCGCTGGAAACTCACAAGGGTAGTACCGGTGCCAAAAGGTAGTGGAGGATCGGCGGCTAGTGATTACAGACCAGTTGCGGTTTTATGCACTCCAGCTAAAGTATTCGAGTCGACTATTCATAGTAGCCTGTATCCGAAAATAAATGCTTTGTTGTCAGATGCACAGCACGGTTTCCGTCCTGGGCGGGGGACAACAGGGAACTTGTTGAATCTTATGGCACACATAGTACCGACAGTAGATGCCGGTCACCAAGTTGATGTTGCCTACTTTGATTTTAGGAAGGCCTTTGATACTGTTGATAATGATGTACTTCTATCAAAGTTGGCTAACGTAAGTTGCACACCGCACACGTTGTCATTTTTCGCCTCGTATCTACGAGACCGATGCCAATACGTGGATTGCAGCGGCAGGCTATCCGAACCCTATTTTACAAGATCAGGTGTAAGTCAAGGCAGTAATTTAGGACCTCTGCTATTTATTTTAATGATCAACGACTTGCCGAAAGTAGTCAAGATGTCTACACCATTGTTATTTGCTGATGACCTAAAATTAGTTCGCACAATAAAGGGATCCGGTCATGACTCTTTGCAACAGGATGTAGATAGGGTAGTAGAGTGGAGTTTTAAAAATAAATTGTACTTCAACGTGGACAAATGTTCCGTATTATCGTTTAGTCGAGCGCGTAGCCCGAGTCACCATCAGTACTACATGGACAGCATGCCACTGAAACGTGTATCCGAAGTGAAGGACTTAGGCGTACGCTTCACTACCGATGTGAATTTTCGACAGCATATCGTAGAAGTTTGTAAGAAAGCTTACCGGAATTTGGGCTTAGTTTTACGTCAAGCGAACGAATTTACAAATCTCAGTGCAATAAAAGCTTTATACGAATCCCTCGTAAAAAGCCATTTAGAATGCAATGCTTTAGTCTGGTCGCCACAAGAAGCGAAATATAAATTAATGTT